CTAAATTATTATGAGCTCTCTTCAAGCAATGTGTTCCTAAATAACGCCCCGGAGCGTTATTTCGCGACGATACGGTATCATATCTTAAACGCTCCTATAGTGATGATATTAATAAATCGTATAGTTAATTAACATTCTTCATATATTTCAATATTCAAAAGAATTTCTATGCAAATACATATAATAAAAAATACATATAAACTAATTTCTTTCTTCTACACTACCATAATTAAATGTTACTTTACCTTTTTTTTTTGCGCAACAAACGAGATTTTGTCAATGTAGTAGTGGTTAATTACTTATAACTTCAACTGGCGAAGTGCAATATGAAAGTTGTTGGATTAAACGAATATGTTGTAAGGCAAGGTGAGAACTTCAAGTTTCTCTAATAGTTTTCCCATTTTACGGATGAGATAATCTACCCGAGCTTCCGACGTTCTTACCTCGATACGTAGACATCATCGTCAAATTTTAATTTACTTCAGTTAGCTTAATTACTTTAATGATTCGATACTTAAAGGGACACATATAGCTAAAATTTCATGCTAAAAATTTTATCTAGAAGCAAACCTAGTTAGCTTTCTTCAATGTTCTCTTTCGATTCTTCGTTACATATGATTTTGTTTGTAGTTTGACAAAACCAAAGTCCTATTTTTTTTGACAGTAACTCATAATATATATCTAAAAATATATAAATTAAATATTAATTAATGATCTTGATATTTTTTTCATATACAATATTGAAAGTATTAATATAGCGGAAATATATTACAGAACTGCAAAAGCATTGTAGTCAACGTTGAGAAAGCCAGCTTCCCAATTGTCTATATAGTGATTAATACAACAAAGATAAAAAAAATATTAATTTGCATATCGATATTTTTCACTTTTTTTTTTTTTTTATTGTATTAACTAATTGAGATATATACAGAGATTTGTATTATTTCGTTGCATTGTGGATTGATTACTGGATTAAGATTGATTGACACGAGATAAACACGAGTACCCACAAATTCGGACCTCCGATCAAAAATGCCTTTTAGTTACCTATTGTATAAAAAAAAAACGACATTATATGTAAAATTTTATTCTGAAAATTTTTACTTAGAGGCTAAAAGCAGGTTATCATAGTAAAATTTCGTGTTAGCTACGGTTTGTTCGTTTTGGTTTTTTTGCCTTTGTTTTGTTACACGAAGATCTTCGTTATTTTATTGGTTCCGATCTATACGGGGCATATCAGATATGATGTAATTGTTATTAATGATGTAATGTTTTAAAAACCCTGGATCTTTCATCGTTCACACTTCGTCGTTTGCAAAAAAAATTCGCATCAAGCCTTTTTTTTTATTTTTTTAAAAACCTGCTTTGGCCTTTGCTGTTGGCGTCTTTGCTTTGGCTAGAGCAGGTGGTGGATTTTTCTTTATAGTCTTCGCTTCTTGAACAATATATTAGTGATTGCTGTTATCGTGAACAACGACTTGGCAAGTTGTTGGCTAATATATTGTTGGAATAATTGGTTTGTACCTTTATTCCATTTTTTTTTACAAGGGTTATTTGTTGTATACTTGAGGTTTATTTTTTTGTTTTCTATAAATTTGGGGCCGACGGCTCATTGTTTTATATTCCTTTTAAATATATAGATTTAACCTTTTTTATTTTTCTTACACTAGATTCTTGGTGCTTAATATGCAACGACTCAAATCAAATCGCTGATAAATTAGCAGATTACAACTTATTTTAAACTGTAATCTGTCCTCCAGATCAGCTACAAAACACTTGATTTATTTATTTATTAACATTCGTCAGAGTAACGAAATGTTTTGGGATTTTTTTTGTAGTTTGTTTCGTCGGATTTAGTACCGTGATACTGTTTCGTTGTATTGGTTTTGATGTTATTGATTTCGTAGTTAGTAGAGCCGTTGTTTTTGGCGAAGGATTACGTTGTTATTAGCTTCGTTGTTTTTATATCTTCTTTACGCGACAACAATAACATGGTTTGTGTAATTAGCAGTTACAGTAAAATTATGTTTCTAACATTGTTATACACATTAGTTATTTATTATTTTTTAAGTTATGTTATATGATTAGGTTGAAAAATTACTAAGATCAATTCTTAACCTTAATGCAAATTGTAATTCTTTTATTATGATGTATCTTTTTTTGTAATAATTTTCCGAGTCATAATATTTTTAATTAATTACTTGAAATTGTCTATTAAAATTCGTAACTTCAGTGTAAACGGCGTCAAATAAAATATAACATGAAAATTTGAAGTACTTAAGAACACCTGGCCCATAATGTTTTTCAGTACATAATATTTAATTCTTGATCCATGATATTCAAAAACATCTGATCATGCATATTGACAAGAGTCGACGGGTCACAAATAACATTTAGTCAAAGATCATAAGATAACTGACAAATCAAAATTTGTCAAACGATATTAATATCTGATATTAATTTAATCAGATCATTTATTCACGAACGCATATTTTCGCAACACTTTTGATTGAACAGTCACGACTAATATGAGTGCCGCGAAGCTAAAAACATGAGAAATTTCACTTTACGGAAACTGGCTGATCAGACTCCTGATAAATTCAATTTCGTGATAAATTAAAAACACCGTCTTTACATATCGATATTTTATATTCAGACATATATAAACTATAATATTTAATTGGTATGTTTAATCATGTGTTGATCGTATTTTTCAGGGGTCTGATAAACCAGTTTCTGCAAAATTAGTTTTGCAGCACTCATATAATAAAGAAAAATATTTAGGAGATTTTATTTTTGTTACATTATACTGATCTTTGAATTTATCTAACACGATTTGTAATGTTGCTCTAATCTTTTGAAATATTGATCTCTTCTTCACTTTCCTAATTCCGTTTTATAAGTTTTTTAAAATATCCAAAATTTGTATAATCTGCGAGGTATTTGAAGGACCTTTCATACTTAAATAATTTTTTATAAACTTTATTAAAAAAATTGTTTTTTTTTTTAGTCCTATTATAAGTCGATAGGGTTATTTAGACTTTTAATTTACACTCTTACTTATGCTAGATAAAAAAAAGTAATTTATAAAATTGCCAAAAAAAAAATAATATCAAATACGATCAAGTCGTTCTTTATAAATACAACTTTAACTTCGTAATAATAAGCCTTTTCAAATTACAAATACAATAACATTTTTTCATCACGATTTAGATCAGCTTTAGGAAATCAGACTTATCGGAAATCAGTGACTTAACCTGTCATTTTTTACAGGGGAACCACCAAATTTCCGGGTCGGATCCATCGGATTTAGGTCAGCATTTGGCAATATAAGTCAACCATTTCTGAGCCAAAATTATCAGCTGGGAAGCTTTACTTAATGAGTGAGCCATGACTTCATTAGTAAAACTTTTAGTGATCTTGGTTAATTCCGGCCCTGCCGATCATGATTCCAACCCGGAATTTTGGTGAAACTGTATGAGTTGTATTTACTCATATACATTACACCAGCGTTGGGAAGATTACAATGACCAATTAAACTGATTGTGGCTCAGTTTGTTGTCCACTTTCCCAACACTGCCTTACGTTTCGCAGGCAAATTTACCTACGAGTTTCATTTTCTCGGCAAATTGTAATATAGGGGTCGCATCATAAGAAGACTAAATCGTCTTGTTCGAGAGTCTTCGGAGAATGTTATTCTTTTTAGTAAACGGTCTTTCCATATATTTCCTTGAACACTTTTTTGGGATCCTTTAACAATTACATTCTTGTACTACCTTAAATTTTCCGACTTGTCTAAATATTTATAATCTTCGGACTTTGAAGCACGTACTTGCATTGCCAGCATAACTACAGAACTGCGCAAACAATTTTGGGGGGTTAAAAACGTGAAGACGATAGGGTATCCACGTACCGGCAATTCGGCTTACAGTAATATTGGATCATGTGCCTGATAACCCGGTCCTGTAAAGTGAAATTTCCGAAAATTCAGATTTGCACGTTTTAGTTGTTCGTCACTCATTAAGAACGCATCAAATCTATATTGATACAGAACGATCTTCTCTACTGTTACATGTGAACAGTGTCGCAAAACAACTCGTATCCTTTTTATGATTAAACGAATTGCTTCAAACTTAGTCCAATATTTATGAAGTTGATAATTGTATAATCTGAAAACGTGTACGAGTCCTTAAAATTTATATGCAATCATAGATTAGAAGGTTATGGTTCAAAGAGTACAAATGTTCAATCGAAAAAGTTTTCTGAACACGTTAATAAAGGAAAAATCGAAGAGACACTAAATTCGCAGTTAGCGCTGTTTGATAACTTTGATAGACTGATAACCAAAAAATTTAAAAATAACTGGTTCACTTAATCAACAATTTGAGACATATCGATATATGGATCAATCTCTTAGAGAGAAATATGAAGGTAAGTTACTAATTATAATCCCATAATGACAATGACCCTTATTAATCATTGAATATAACAATTAAACATTATATGATCTTGAATATGGTCTGAAAAAAATCCGGGTTTGTTAGAACGATTTGAAACGTTTGCAGAAACATTAAAAGAAGAATGTAAGATTGATTAAATAACTGATCCATCATCTTTAACGCAAGTATGTTTATAATTGCATAACTGCTTCACATTAGTATTATCTTCGTATTAATGATTCATATTATATATAATACTGTACATGTGAAAGAATGAGATAATGACAGTAGGTGAAATATGGATTAAATTGTCACTTTAAACATTCAGTTTATTTCCAGGGCAGGTATTTTAAAGTAAATTTATTATTTAGTCATAAGAATTGGATATAATATTTATTTTATGAATTCAGATTTTAGGAATTTCAAGGAAGCAATAAAATATATGATTCGTTTAATGTAAATGAAGTTCTTGAAGCTGAATTCAATGTGACTAAAATTTTTGAGGTAAAGTTATTGCCTTTTATTATCATTATGTAGTTATAACACTTAACATGTTGATTTATGAATAAAGATGCCAATGTTATCAATGTATCTAGTGAAATCATTGATCACAAAAAAAATTTAAACGGAAAACCGTTAAGTGTGATGGTTGCAGCCGGACCATATTCATTGGAAATGGGATTTAAATATGAACCATTACGCGAATTGATAAGAAATATGACAGAGGAAAAACCAGATATCTTAATTTTGGTATTTATTGTAGAATTCACGCGATATGTAAAAAAAAATATATATAGTGAATACATAAACATAAATTAGATGGAACCATTTGTCGATGAAGATCATCCTATGATACAAAGTGGAGAGGTATTAGGTACACCTGAGGAACTCTTTAGAAAATTTATTACGTTTCCATTGGCTGCATTCATTAAATCTTCACCGAAAACCAAGGTTATTATGATTTCCAGTACGAAAGAATATTTCATGAATGTCTGTCATTTCCTCGACAAAGCAGGATTGCCAAAGGTAATAATTTGATTTCACACATAACAACAATGTGATGTAGTTTTTACATTATAAACCATTAAAAATCATGTAAAGTGCATCATATGCATATGCAAAAAAATAGATCTATATGATTTGTCACCCTAGACACTATTGTTGGGTTCGGAAGATTGCGACTCTGTCGCTCCACAATTCAATATCTCGCGTAACGTACAATAAGTAACCTTTTCGAAAGAGGGTGTTAGATTTGGCTAGTGGGCGATTAAGGCTTTCGGT